CAATTACACATTTCACTGAACTGGCCACTTCACTTCACACGCTTGTTTATGAATACACATATCATGGAAATTTTGTGGGAGTATACCTTCTAAATATATTTACAATTTCAAGATTGGTGGTACCTCAATCATATTTTTACATTCGTTAATGTGTGTTTCAGTTTTTGTTTGATTGACTTTTTTGTGAAATATGGTAGTTTAGCTTTCATAATAAAACAACCACGTACTTCCATATAAGTTGCCGTGTATGTTATATGTCATATTTTGTATGATTTAATGTTATGTTATAATGAACATCAGATATCGCGTAGCAATTCAGGCAAACATTCTCACAATTATTTCAATATCTTTCAATTATTTCATCATTATTTCAACATCTTTCAGTTTTCTCACCATTATTTCAATATCTTTCAATTATTTTATCATTAGAGAGAGAGAGAGAGATAATTGAAAGATATTGAAATAATGGTGAGATAATTGAAATATATTGAAATAATGGTGAGAAAATTGAAAGATATTGGAATAATGATGAAATAATTGAAAGATATTGGAATAATGGTAAAATAATTGAAAGATATTGAAAACATTATTAAACAATGGTGAGATAATTGAAAGATATTGAAATAATGATGAAATAATTGAAAGATATTGAAATAATGGTGATATAATTGAAAGATAATGAAATAATGGTGAGATAATTGAAATATATTGAAATAATGGTAAAATAATTGAAAGATATTGAAAAATGATGAAATAATGGTGAAATAATTGAAAGACATTGAAATAATGATGAAATAATTGAAAGATATTGAAATAATGGTGAGATAATTGACAGATATTGAAATAATGGTGAAATTATTGAAAGATATTGAAATAATGGCGAGAAAATTGAAAGATATTGGAATAATGATGCAATAATTGAAAGATATTGGAATAATGGTAAAATAATTGAATGACATTGACAAAATTATGAAATAATGGTGAGATAATTGAAAGATATTGAAATAATGGTGAGATAATTGAAATATATTGAAATAATGGTAAAATAATTGAAAGATATTGAAAAATGATGAAATAATGGTGAAATAATTGAAAGATATTGAAATAATGGTGAGATAATTGAAAGATATTGAAATAATGGTGAGAAAATTGAAAGATATTGGAATAATGATGAAATAATTGAAAAATATTGGAATAATGGTAAAATAATTGAAAGATATTGAAAAAATGATGAGAAAATTGAAAGATATTGAAATAATGGTGAGAAAATTGAAAGATATTGGAATAATGATGAAATAATTGAAAAATATTGGAATAATGGTAAAATAATTGAAAGATATTGAAAAAATGGTGAGATAATTGAAATATATTGAAATAATGGTAAAATAATTGAAAGATATTGAAAAATGATGAAATAATGGTGAAATAATTGAAAGATATTGAAATAATGGTGAGATAATTGAAAGATATTGAAATAATGGTGAGAAAATTGAAAGATATTGGAATAATGATGAAATAATTGAAAAATATTGGAATAATGGTAAAATAATTGAAAGATATTGAAATAATGGTGAGATAATTGAAAGATATTGAAATAATGGTGAGATAATTGAAAGATATTGGAATAATTGTGAAATAATTGAAAGATATTGAAATAATGGTGAGAAAATTGAAAGATATTAAAATAATGGTGAAATAACTGAAAT